AAAATAATATTTAAAACCATTTTAAAATGAACACTATGATAAAAACTAAAAAACTCTAGAATACTATATAAATTATTTAAAATATCCTTCTTCTGTAATAAATTATGATGAAAACTTCCCTTACTTGAAGAATCATCCTTTTATCATAAATGAAAAGGAAATAACTTTTGTATCTAATTAATAATAAATAAAAATTGATATTTTTTCATCCAACGTTTATAATTTATCTTAAGCAGTAAATAATGTAGGTGATTATATTTGCATATAAAATATTTAAGGCAAATGGGTTTCTAAAGATTGCATACTTTTATATTATACTAATGACTAAAATAAAATTTAATAATTTGTATGTTAATGCAAAACTCAAGGATTATCAACTCTTGTTAATGACATAAATGGAATATTTAAAGTGATTCGAATAAACGATTGGTATTTTTATGCTTCTTTGTGGACTTTATTTGCTACTACTATAATATATATAATTTAATTTATATATTTATAATAAATAGATAATATTGAATACTAAAAAATGTAATAAAGCACAATAAAAAGAAATTAAATCACAGAAATTATTTTTAAAAAGAACATTAAAGATGAAGAACGAAATAAATAATTAGATAATATTTTAAAAAAAGATTAACAGATTTTTCAAATACAAAGCTAAAATTTTTTATAAACTCAGAATTAAAAAATAAGTATTTTTTAAAAAAATATTATTTATAATAAGAAAATATTTATTTTTTTATATATATAAAAATATTTTTTTAACAATTTTATTTGAAAATAATAATTTAACAAATAGTTTTACAGAATTAATTGTTATTAAAAAAAATCTATTTTTTTATTATATACATATTTTTTTTTATTTAATTTTTTAAAATTTTTTATTTAAATTTTAAAAATAAAGAATTTTGCTAGAGTAATTAGTAATTTGAAACCCAACTCTTAGATTAATTTTAATATTAAAATATCATAATAAAAAAAAAAAAATATATATAATCAATCAATTTATTAGGTTCATTGAATTTAAAATAGTCAGAATCTAAAAAATTATAAAAACTATAAAAAATAATACCATTAAAAGTCTAATCTAATACAATAGAAAATAATAATAATAATAAACCAATAACTGAAAATTAATAAAAATTATGTAATTAATTGCTAACAGAAGATAAGATGGAAACATTTATTAGACATAAAATTAGTAAATTATCTCCTTAAAAATAAGCTAAATATGATTTATAATAAAATAAATAAGAAGATGGCATATAAACTCAAAACGATTAGGATAAAATCTAAGATCTGAAAAATAATAAGGCTAAACCTTAAAAAAATACTTTTTATAAAAGAAAAAAACATTAATCTAGTTTAAATCAATTGTAAAAATAACAAAACTAGTAAATAAATAAAGATCTGAAAAATGATAATAAATATTAAAAAAATGTAAATGATAGTGAAAAATATTAAAAAGATAAAATAAAAATTAGTTAATAATAGCTATAAAGGGATATTAAATCAAAATTTATTTACTAAAAATAACTCTTTATTACAAACAAATAATACAATTTCTGTTTATTATTAGGAAAATGAATCTTTTATTGCTTAAAATTTTTTTAAATAAAGTCAAATTGTTTAAATTATAAGTTTACATGAATTAATTTAAATATTTATTTTTTTTAATTAATTTTTAAGTAGGCCTTTTAGAATAACTTAATAATATGTGAAATATATTATTCTTCTTACTGCTAATTATTTTTTATTTAATAATTTAAAAACTGTCTTTATAATCTTAGCTAATTATTTATTATTATTAAGTATTAACTTATTAATTATTTTAATAGAAAGTATATATAAATTGAATAAAAGAATAATTAAATATTTTATTTCTATTTTTTTTTTTTCTATAATCATAATTTGCTTTTACATTATCTGTATTAGTATTTAAAATAAATTTTATAAAGAATACAATAATTGGTTACCTTTTTATTTTCTAATAATTTTTTTTGATATTCTTATTTATTAAATTGTTTCTGCATTTATTAAATATAAACTAATTATGTAATATGTTTCTAATCAAATTAATAATAAATATTATAGGATTAAAATATAGTTATTTAATATTCTTAATTTAGAAAATTTTTTAATGAACATATATAAAAAAAAATATTAAAATTGACAACTTTAATAATTAAATTTTTTATAAAGAAATATTATTACTCAATATAGCATTTATATTTTATTAAAAAATATTTAAAATTAAAATTTTATTTATAATTATATATATTTTTTATTATTTGTATTTTTATTTTGATTATAATTATATTGTTTTTTATTTTAAAATTTAATTAAAAATTATTATTTATAATGATTATTAAATATTAATAATTTCTTGATTTAGTTTTTAAAAAATAAAATTACAGAAATATTTTGAACAAGTAATATATATTAAAAAATCATTCTTAATTATTTTCTAATTATTTATAAATTTAATAAAATAATATTGTAATATTATAAATAAAAATTATTTATTAATATTATTATTTTATATAAATATACAAATGAAGATGTTTCATAATTTTTATATTATATTAGGAACTTTCAAAAACAATTAAAATATACTTGTTATAAAAGAATTAAATATTCTCATTAATAAAATTCAAATATATGTTCTTTTCTCTATAATTTCAATATTAATTTTATTAAACTCGTATTTATATTATGTAAAAGAATAAATTTTTTAAATATGTTATTAAATTAAAATAAAATATAATGAAAAACCATAAAAATATTAAAATAGTTTTTAAATTAATCTAATTTATCTTTTGTAAATAGATTTGTTTTACCTAAATTATAATATTGTATATAATTAGTAAAAAAATAAAGATAAATAAAAATAAAATAAAATATTAAAAAAAAAATATATATATAAAAAAAAAAAAATATTGATTTAAAATAAAAAATTAAAAATATAATAAGAAAATGTATAATATGAAAACATTATTAAATAAAAATAAAAATATATATAATTATTTAAAATAATAAAAATTATTATATATATTTATATTTATTTAATTTATATTAAAAGTTTAAAAAATTATAATATTTTTAAATTTAAAATTATATTTTTTTTTATAATTTTTATTTTATTTATTTTAATTTTTTAGATAATCTTAATAAAAAATTTTAACTTTTTTTTTAAATGTATTTAATTATTATACCTATTAATATAATATTTTTATTTTAATCAAATTTAAATTTAATACATTTTTTTTTTGAAAATTGCTTTAAAAGCTTTAATATATTTATTCAAATTTAATACTATTTTTATAAAACTTTAATAATTAATTATATATTTTTTTTTAAACTTTCTGTTTAACTTAATCTTATTTATTAAATATATAGATTTTTTTTATTTTTTAATTTTATTTTTAATTATTCATTTATATAAAAATAATTTAAAAATAATTTAATATAGCAATTTTATTAAGACATATATTTTATATTTCTTATATTAATATACGTAAGATTATATTTAAATACTAATAATTTTTTGGCTTATAAATTTCAAAATTTATATAAAAAATATTTTATTTAAAAATTTAGTAAAATATATTTATACAAATATTGTAAATATTTTCTTTAAAAATTTTACTTTTGTATATATATTTCTTTTAATTATATATTGTTTTTATAAATCTATTTAAAAATATAGGTATTTAAATAATTATTTTTTATTTAATTTTTTTTTTTCAAATCAAATATATCTTAAAATTAGGAATTGGAGAAGAACATTTTTAAAATTAAAAAAATAATTAGTTAATAGAATCTCTTTATTAATTATATTTTTTAAAATATACATAAAAAATAATAAAATAATTAATAAATTATATTTCTAATATAATTTTTTTAAGAAATTAACAATTAAAATAGCAATAGTCATATTTATTTCTCAAATTTTATAAGAAGAAAACAGAATATTTTTAAGAATTAAGAATATTAAATTTGGCTTAAATACAAAAAAAAGCATAGTTTTAGTAAAATAAATAAATAATTTAGTATGAAAAATAAAAATATGTACATAATAAATATATTATTCTAAATAAAAATATATTATAGGTTTAATAATAAATTTTAGAGAAATTATTACAATAATAATATAAATAACATTTTTAAAGGATTTATGCAATTTTTATAATATATAATAATTATAAAAAAACAGTGTTTGTTTTTAATTTTAGAGTCAAAATAATTAAAAATTTTGTAATAAAAAAATTAAATAATTTTTTTTTTTTTTTATAATTGTAATATTTTAAATAATAATAAAAGTATAATGGAAAATGATAAGCTTTTTAATAATTAGGCTTTAAAAAAAAAAATAAAGATTATGAAAAATTAAAAAAAAAAAATATATATAAAAATATATATTAGCAATTTTATTTATAAATAATAATAATATTTTAAAAAAATTTTTTTATTAAATTACGTAATTATTTAATTTTAACATTATAATAGAATAATATTTTAATAAAAAAATATAGAAAAAAAAAATATATTATAAAAAAAAAGTAATATCAAAATAAATATAATAAATATAAATATATAAATAAATATTTTAAATATAATTAAAAATAATTTAATTAATAATTATATTATTT